TACAGGGTCTGAAGTAGTCAGCAGTGCATCAGTACGAGAGCCACTTCTTGAGCTTTTAGTTTCTCTAATATAACATGCGAGTAGAGTTCTGAATGACTTCCGACGGCAAATTGATTACAAACCATTTCAGATGCAAACGATCAAGTGTGTCGTTGTCGGCGACGGAGCTGTAGGAAAGACGTGTTTGCTCATCTCTTACACTACCAATAAATTCCCATCTGAATATGTGCCTACAGTGTTCGACAATTATGCGGTAAATTGTATTTCACTCTTGCACTTTATTTATCATATTTTCGCTCGGAAATTTTTTTATTTTCTATTTACTAGTGATCATCATTTTCACTTGGCCATCCCTATAGTATTTTTATGAGCATTTTTAACAACATAATATAACGTCTGATAAATGGGGCTATTCCTCAGAAGTGGTTTTCATTCCACTGTGGGAGATCGGCATAGCTTAAATCGAAACCACTTTGTTCTAATCTGTTTCTAATAATTCATTTACTAGGCGCTGAGACGCCTTGTTTCAAGAAAACCTCAATTATACAGTAGCTACTCGTTACCATGGCTAGAAGGCATTTAGTAAGTATTTTGCGTTCAGGTGACTGTCATGATTGGAGGAGAACCGTACACTTTGGGATTGTTCGATACTGCTGGACAAGAGGATTATGATCGTCTGCGGCCGCTATCCTACCCACAAACTGATGTGTTTCTAGTTTGTTTTTCCGTGGTAGCGCCGGCTTCATTCGAAAACGTCCGCGAAAAAGTAAGTTACTTTTCCCTTGTTTTTTAAGTTTATGAGAGAATGTCCTGATTTTCTCAATTTCAAGTACAACCAGTTTAATTTCAGTGGGTACCCGAAATCGCTCATCACTGTTCAAAAACGCCTTTTCTATTAGTTGGAACACAGGTGTGTAGTCTTTCAGTGTAATCAATTGAAACAGTTATATATAATACCCTGGGCATGGGTTAGAGCATGCAGCATTTCGAGTTTCTGCTGGTCTTTTCGCACTCGTGGAAGTGTTTGCTATTGCGCCATAGTAATAGAGCTCGCTCGGCTTTGGTTTTGGGGCAAGAACTAGTTTGCGGTTAATCTCTTGCCCACGGATGTTTTTCACTCCGAAAGTAGGGAAACACTGACGTCACTTCATCTATGCAGGAGTACAAAGATATTCCTCCTTTTTAGTGTTGAAACCTTCTTGTGACTATTTCCCCTTGTTCTCAAGTAGTAAAAGAAACATTGAGTTGAGAAAGTTTTCATTTTGATCTATTCTTTTCTCTT